TGAGACTGACTCAGGACAGAGCAGGGGTCAGATCTACTGGGCATAGGGTTGCTATGAGTCACAGGCGACTCGATGGCAAATAACGACAAACAACATGTTCCCGTGTTCTGCTGGAACGAGTGCTTCTTCTCCTATGTACAGGTTAGCATGAGCACAGTTAAGCGTTTCGGTATTCCCATATTTCTCAACATTAGCCATAAGTTGTTATGATCCATCACATGCCTTTGCACAGTCAATAAAGCAAAAGTAAACATCTTTCTGGGATCCTCTATTTTCAGTCAAAATCCATCTGATATAAGTTATGATATTCCTTGTACCATGGACTCTCCTGAATCCAGCTCAAATTTCTGGAAGTTCTCCTCTGGCATACTATTCAAGTTGCTTTTTAATAATCTTCAGTAACATTTTACTTGCATATATTAATAACATTGTTCAATAATTTCCACACTCTGTTGAATTGCTTTTTTTAAAAAATGGAAACAAAGAAGAATGCCTTCTAGGTCAGTTGGCCAGGTAATTGTCCTCCAAATTCCCTGGCGGAGGCTAGTGAGGACGCCTGTGATCTGCAGGACTCCTTCTGTTCGCACAAACATCTCCACTGGTAGTCAGCCAGTTCCTGGGGCTTTGTTTTTGGCAGTGCCTTCAGTACAGCTTAAAATTCTAAACCCCGCCCCCATTTTTTTAAACCCTGGTTCTCGATCCCATGCTTCTTCCTGAAATGGTTCAACGTGGACCGATTCCTTTTGGTGCAGTGACTCTGTGTATTCCTCCAATCTTGAGCCTTCCTGCATTTGTCAAGATTTTGCACTTGTTCTTCAGTTCTTTCAGCTTGAGAAATGCAAGCATGTTCTTCCATTAAAAATATTATTCATTTAGTCACAGATCTGTCGGAAAACCAACTTGTAATTGTTTGGGTTTTGTGGTGGGGTTTTTCCCCCCTCAATCTCAGCATCAGTGTCAAAACAGACAGGTTTCTTTGTTATATACGTCTGGTTTACATTTGTAATTTCTCCATGACATTTGTAATTTCTTCCTTGTAATTCCTTGAGGTGTCCTACATGTATATGCTCTGCTCCTCTTAAAAACAGCCTCATGACCATGGAGTCAGAACCGACTCATAGCGGAACCCGAGCAGGTGATCAGAGGCAGCGAATCACCCTTCAGAAGCTCGTCCACCCTCCTCCTGTGGAGGCCCTAGTGGATCAGCACCACCGGAGAGATGCTCCCTGGGATTAGCGGTGCTGCTCCCTACAGAAGATGCCACCACGGCTCCCAGCTAGACTCCTTCAACCTGACAGGTCTCCTCAGATCTGTCTCTTCTTTCACTCTAGAAGGCCAAATAAATGGAAACACACATTTACCTGATACAGTGAAATGCTGCTGACGTTAGGTGCTGTCAAGTACTCACAGTGACATAACAACAACAGACCTGAGCCCTGCTCTATCCTGTGCCATTCTCATCATCTCTGACACACCTGAGCCCACCATTCAGGCACTGTGTCAATCCACCTCATTGGGTGTCATTTTCTCTTTCACTGACCCTCCACCTTTCCAAGCATGATGTCCAAGGAACAGCATCTCTCAGAAACGTGCCCAAAGAATGCCATCCTTGCCTCCAAGAAGCACTCAGGCTGTACTTTTCCCAGACATAATCTGCTTGTTCTTTTGTCAATCCATAGAATTCTTCACCACCAAAATTCAGAGACATCAATTCATTCATATTCATTGTCTAGCTTTCAGGTTCATAGCAAGTGACTGAAAAGACCATGGCCTGAGGCAGGTGCACCTTAGTCTTCAAACTGACATCGTTGCTCTTAAGTATTTTGTAGAGGTCCCTCCCAGCAAACTTTTCCAACGCAATATATGTCTTTATTTACTGACCACTGGTACCAAGGGTGTTGATTCTTGATCCAAGCAAGCTAAATAATTGACAATTTCAGTACTTTCTCCATCTCTCATGATGCTGGCTATTGGCCCAATGGTAAGGATTTTTGCTTTCTTGATGTTAGATGCAATCCACATTAAAGGATGTAGTCCTTGATCTCCTGCAGTCATCATTTTAAGTCCTCCTCACTTTCATCAAGCAAGGTTGTGTCATCTGCATAACTCAAGTTGTTGATCAATCTTCCTCCAATCTTGCTGCCACGTTCCTCTCCATACAGTTTAGCTCCATGAATGATTTGCTCAACATACAGAATGAATATGTATGGAGAAGGATACGTCCCTGACGCACACCTTTCCTGATTTTAAACCAGGCAGGGTTCCCATGCTCCATTCATACAGTAGTTTCTAGCTGTAGTTCACAATTCTCCCAAAATGCCTGGAATGGCCCCAATCGTGCAGGTGTGGGTCAGTTTACGCTCTGCAAAGCTATTGCAAATGATTGGTCACATACTAAGTATGACCACTTACTAGACGGCCAGGAGAATGTGTTGACTTATGGTCTATCCAAAGAGCCCTTGTGGCTATGCATGCAGTGTGAGGCACTGTCGACCGAAAGGCTGGTGGTCTGAATCCAGCTGGTCTGCAGGACAAAGGGAAGTCTCTCCTCACAATGATTTACAGCCTCGGAAAGCCGACAGACGGCTGCCAGGCATCAAGACTGCCTCGAGAGCAGTGGGTGTGGTTTTGTTTACAGCACTGGCCAGTTTATAAAAGCCACATCCAGAAAATGAATGATAAGGTGTAAGCTGTGAATCACACAGAGGTTTCTTGTTCTGATCAATGAGAGACAGGACAGAAGCATGTCCATTGGACTGGGGGTCTCATGCTAAGAACCTCTTAGACCCAAATAAAAGAGCTGTAATGTGGGCCAATTACAGTCTCACTGAGACTGAGAGGGAGTTTTTTTGGGGACGAGTCAACGCACAGAGCAAGACCACAGAGGGTCAGCCAGCCACTGAGAGGGACTGAGGGCTGGGTGAGTCAGCCCTCTGAGCAACGGTGATGGAGACAGAGGCTGTGACAGGAGCGACAGAAACTAAAACAACAAGCAGATGCAGACGGCAGCCATAGAGTAGAAATGCAGGACCCATCTGAGAGCTGAGCGGAGCAGCCAATAGCCAAGCCCACCAGCCAACATCCTTGAATTTACCAAGTGTCCTTGTGGTCAAGAATGGGAAAGCTTTTGAGGAAGGTCTCCCTCTGCTTGTCAGTTTGTTGTACTGGGATGGGCTTTGTGTTGCTGTGATACTGACAGTTATCCCACTGGTATTTCAAACACCAACCAGGTCATCCATGGAGGGCGCTTCCAAACCAAGGCAGATGTGCGACTAAGGACCCAGCGATCCTCTTCTAGAAATACCAGCCAGTGAAAATACAGCAAACAGCACCAAGCAGTGTCTGATAGGTCATATCTGTCTGACAGTTCTCAAAGGTTGTAAGCCACGCGAGAGGAGCTCGTCACCGGTGGACTGAAGGGACAGAGGGAACCGAACCCCCTTGGGGTTAGCACAGCTCTCTATGGATCAGGTGCCACAGCCCCCCAAATGCATTTACCAACAGCATAAATGGAGTCTCTACACGGACCTTGCTAAACGGAATATTCAGAAATCAGAGACTACATCGGTAGGAAGAGAAGTTCAATGCCATCTGTCAGGAAGAGGACAGGGGCTGACTGCAAAGACCATCACTGCTCACATGAAGTTAAAGTTGAAAAGAATGAAGACAAAATTCAGGGCAAAGTACATCCTTGAGTATCTCCTTCTGAATTTAGACTCGATTTGACACAATGAACACTGATGACGAATGACCAGACAGAGTTTGAACCAATGTGAGCAGAGGAGCTTCTGAGGTCCCGGGGAGGATAGTAGCCAGTGTTTCTTGCCGGTCACAGGACCACATAGTTCACAGGTCCACATGGTTCACCAGACCACACCCTTCCCAGGACCACTGTGCTCCAACTCAGCAGAACTCACCAGCATTTCAGGGCAGAAGTCAATTCTTAAAAGCTAGTTATACAACATCTGAGAAAATGGGGTTTACACTCAGATTGTCAGGAAATAGTTTTCCTAAATCAAAGACTTTCCCAGCTGACAGATCAAAGGTCATACTCTAACCCCTCCTCTTACAACAATGCGCTCCATCAGTGGAAAGCTAAAGGGGCCCACGTAAAGATTTTACTATTCCATCTCTAGACCCCAAATCATGCCCACCTCCCAATGAAAACATCACAAAGGCATGAAGGCCAACAAAATGCCAACTTAGCAGCTCAAATTTCTTTTTATTTCAAGATTAAAATGCCTTATTTCCAAATTTGAATTCTTTGTATATGAAATCTTTTATCTGGTGTGTTTCCATTTTCATTACAATTTTATTTATAAAATACGTGTTTCCATATTTAGTTCCCTCTTTCTGAAATTTCTCTTTTTATTACATATTAGTTTCCTTATTCTGAACTATATCTCATTAGATGTTCTAACTATCTCTGCCTACATACTGGACTGAAGATCAGTCACATTAACCTCTATACGGCCAAGTTCCAGCGCACAGCACCTGAGCCATCACCAGTGAGTCACTCAGAACTCCTAACGGCCGGCCGTGTGGACAGAGTGTACCTGCTACTCAGCTTCCAAGGCTCTCATCGCCACAGAAACAGAGGCCTCGTCCGTCTCTCCTGGACGTGAGAGGGGGTTAAAGGCACTGACCCTTTAGGTAGCAGACCAGTGCTTAACCACTGTGCCACTAGGCCTCAGTTTCCTGTTTCTAATGAAACCTGGAGAAACCGGAGCTTGCAGAAGGCATAAACATGTCAGAGATGGAAAACGCAAATATCTCCCAACGAAACACACAGTAATGTGGTAAGACTCCACTTTCACCCTGTCAGAGACAGACGCATGTAAGGCCTACAAACAAGGCAGCCTGGGGCCAAGCTCAGGCCCTCAGAGGCCCAGAAACACGGCAGCCCCCGGCCACTCTCAGGCGCTCAGAGGCCTCACTGGAGGCCTGGTGGTGTGACATCCCCCATAATCTAATTTTACCGGAGCAAACAAAGCTCTTACCTCTTTAGCACGTTTACTTTGGGGTTTATTCCACCGAACGTGGACAGGAACTCCAGGTATGGCACAGCCCCTGAGCTGGTGAGGCGGATCTGTGTGCAAACAAGAAGGACGGTAGCAGGTTAGAGGAGGACTTCAGACTCGAGCGCTGGCCGGTGAAACCGCAGCTTTCCCGGCGCAGTGACGTTGTCGGTGCTGTCAGGTACCGTCAAGTCAGCTTGGGCTCATGTGGCCCCGTGTGACAGAGGGAGACTGCCCTGTCCACTCTCCAGGCTGCGGGCTTTGTGGGATGGACCATCGCTTCTTTCTTCTGTGGAGCTTCCAGGGGGATTCAAACATCAACCTTCTGGGGAGTAGCCGAGGGTCAAAACCATTGTACCACAAAATTTGCCTATTAAATACTTCCTTCAGTGTAATCCAGGTGTCTGAGTTAATAGGCCCCTCAGTAAGTGAAGCGTAAATACCATCAGAGAATGCCCACTGGTGCTCAGGCGCCTGTCAATGCCCACTGTCCTGGCACCCATCTCGGCTCACCAGGACTCTGGGGGCAGAGAAGTGCCCCAGGGTTTCCATGGCTGAACGCTCTATGGGGGCACACCGCCCCGTGTGCTTCTGCAGAACAGTCAGTGAGCGGTAACAGTGCTCCTTCCACGTGTGGTCCAGTGCTTCACACACCGTGCCAACAGGGGTCCTGGCTCAGGGCCTCAGCCCTCTGAGCAGTCAGCTCCAGCCCTTCAGGACAGAGCAGAACTGCCCCGTGGGGTTCTGAGGCTACGAAGTCAACTGGAAAGCTCACCAGCTGGGAAGCAAATGCCTCATCCTCCCACGGAGTAAGCCTTTTAACCACCCTGTCACCAGGACTCCTAAAAGCCAGCACGTTACCTAAAAATGATCTAAAGTCTAAAAGAAAGAAGTCTTTGCACAGATACTTCCCAACGGCTAACACTGGCAGTGCCCAGAGGCGGGGACCACCGTGTCATCTTACACTCCGAGTGTGACCGCCCTGGGAACTTACTGTGCAAATGCTTTTCAGGCAGAAAAAGTTGTTCTTCAATTGAAAATGCTATCAGGACACTATCAGGTCAATATGAACCGCAGATAAGATGGAAGTATTATCTCGATGCTAAGGTTACACCAGCTGGTGACGCTGCTACGATCATCTGGGAGAAGAACCCACCCTTCTTAGCACATGCACGAAGGCATTTAAGGGTGCAGAGCAACTTCCTCTCAAGCAGTTTAGAAAAGCGTGTGTTAGACATGCCCTGTGTGCGCGTGCTGTCTGCGTACCAACAGTGTGACTGAATGGTAACAGCCGGCAGATCTGGGTGATGGACGTACAAATACTACCACTCCTGTGAAAATGTTTGGGGAGTTTGAAATAACAGCATTTTATTGTTATTTGAGTTCATGTTAACAAAGCTTAATGTTTCTCACTAACTCGTTCCTATGCGTGTTGTGCTAGGGCACTCATTATAGGACGCGTGTCTGGTCATTTCCTTACTGGACATGGCTTTTCTCTTCGCCCATCTTAGTAAGCGTCTCCTAACTACTTGGGGCAGCTCTGGTGGCTGGGTGTCCAGGGAGCTGCACTGCGAACCCAGAGGTGAGAATTCCTGGCGGTTTGAATCTATCAGCGGCTCTGCAGTCAGCCGGGCAATCTCCTCCTGTGTGAGTGCTGAGCCGACTGTCTATTTCCTTTGACTCCCCTCTTCTTCTGTTCCCACCCTGCAAACCATCCAAGAGAGATTCTGCGTGTAAAGCTCCCCTTGCTTTTTACAATAGGGAGCTTGTACCCTATCTGTCCTTTCGTGATTGACCTTTCTTTTGTAGCATTATGTCCTCTGGGTTCACCCATATTATATAATGTGGAGGCTAGAGAGAACTTCTAAGTAAAAATGTTATTTTTAAAATTATCTTCACTCCCAAAACAGCATTATGAGATGAGAAATTAAACAGAGAGAAAACACATACTCAGTATATTAACTTTCTCACAAGCATGCAAAATCCACACTCACTGTGGGATGAAGGAACCCCGAGTCCACGCAATCAAGATTGGTATTTCCTTAGCCCTTAAAGTCCAAGCCCCAAAGCCTCACGGGGTTCTCTCCATCATCCCCAAAGAACGAATTTGTGCTTACTGCTCAGAACTCGTGCAACGTGGACAGGAGAGGACGGAGGGCCTGGCTCTGGGGGGTTCAGAGCGGGCTCTGCAGATGACCCTTCCTGGAAAGAACACTCATGGTCTCCAACAGGATAGTTGTGGTTTCATATATGACCTTGTATAAACCTTTCCAGTTGCAGGAGAAAAGTGCAACAATGAATGATTGGAAACAATAGTCTCTGTAAACTTTCATTAAATTCAATTAAAAAAAAAAACACACCACCAACCTTTCCAAGTTGCCCTAATCTTCTAGAAGGAGGGGAGGAACAGATCTGATGTGTGGTCTGAGAGAACTTTAGACGCCTTCTGAGCTCAAACCCAGCAAAAGCATCAACACTTGGGATGCAGAGACCCTAGGCGTTCGCCCGGGCAGTGCGCCCCGCAGTCGTCCCCTGGTCTGCTGTGGATCTGAACAGACTCCACGGCACTGGACAGCTGGCCATCACTCTGATAGCTTTCTTCAGCAAAGTCCCTCCTTCCCAACCTGGCACAACTGCTGGGACAACAATGGAATGTCCGTGTTCCCACTCTGCAATACTGGGAAAGAATTTATACATATTATGAGACGCAGAAGCATCCACGGGGGAAAAGTAAATCTCATATTTGCTATGCCACAGAGAGCTGGACAGTGACTAGGGATGATAGAAGGAGAATTGATGCCTTTGAGCTGTGATGCTGGAGAAGAGTATTGAGGGTACCATGGACTGCTAAGAGAATGAACAGGTTTGTCCTGGAGAAGGTGAAGATGGGCTGCTCCTTGGAGGCAAGGATTCTGAAGCTTCATCTAACATACTTTGGACATGTTGCAAGAAGTGACCAGTCCTTGAAGAGGGACGTCATGCTTGGGAGGGTAGAGGGACAGCACAAGAGAGGAAGACCCTCGATGAGATGGGTTGACTCAGTGACTGGGGTAATCGGGATGGGTGTGTCAGAGATGGTGAGATTGGCACAGGATAGAGCAGAGTTTAAGGCTGTTGTACATGGGGTCGCTATGAGTCGCAGGTGACTCAACGGCACATAACAACAGCAACATTAATAAGACTATTCCTTAGAGAGACATGATGCTGGGAAGGGTGGAGGGTCAGCGAAGGAGAGGAAGACCCTCAACCAGGTGGACTGACAAGGTGACTGCTGCAATGGACTCTTGTGTGTCAGGAAAGGTGAGGAAGGCACAGGATAGAGCACAGTTCAAATCTTTTGTTCACAAGGTCACTATGACTTGTGCTCAACTCGACTGGCACCTATCAACAACAAACATGAATACAGTTGTTCTGAGTCAGTGTGGGCTTGATGGTGATGGGCCTGGGATAAGAGTGGAGACTGGGGTGGAGGGCAGTCCACGAACAAGGCTTCCTCGTCATTCTAGCCCCGACCAAACATCAGAACACCCTGGGAAATTTTAAATCAACATTACATCATTCCTGACAGAGCTCCTGGAATAAAGTTTAAGCTAAAGTAAATTCTGCACAGAACAGGAAATCCCTCGTCCTGTCAGGCAAAAGTGTCATGACTGTAGTCGACCCATTTATGCGTTAATGTAAGTGAGGCTTCCGTTCACACTCATAGAGCAAGAAGGTGGGATGGACGTAAGTCCCACTGCTGTTGAGTTCCAGGGACGGAGAAGGGAGCCCCGTCCTTCATTCCAGGCAACCTGACCCCCTCAAACACCCACACTCCAGCCTCCTCAGGGATCCCTGGTGCTGGGGTCCACAGGGAGTCTTCCTGCTAACCTGAAGGCCTCATCGCTCTGTCCATTTAAGGTCGCCGGTGGCTCAAGGAGAAAGATGGGCAATCTCCTCCAAAATGATGTACAACTTCAGAAACCCGCTGGAGAGCCAGCACCAGCCGGTTCTGGTTCAATAGCCATGAGTGACCTTGACCAACATCCTTGACCTAACACTCAGCTCACAGAGGCTCCAAGGTCCAGAATAAAAAGATGCTGAGTATTTAGCATAACTGCCAGGACCTGTTTTTTTTAACAAGTCTCTAAAGTCCGACAGTTCTTAGTGATTTCTTTTAAGAACAGATGTAGTTTTTCATGTGTGTCTGTCAAAAACAGATACACATTTCATATTATCTGTACTTTCCCTCTTCCTGTATAACTGATTAGCTTGGGAAGACTGTCAAAGTTTTAAATGAACCTTAGCTCATGAATAGAAGGAGACATTCGCAGGAAATAAGAGTTTAACTCCCCGTTTGGTACAAGCGTCAGTCAAATTGGCTTTATGAAGAGATGGATGTCATCCTTGCAAGACAAATGTTCCCTGACTCACCAACTGCTCTGTGGGAGAGAGACGTAGCAGCCTCCTTCAGGAAAGACGGCAGCTTGGAAACCCTATGGGGCAGGTCTCGCCTGTCCAACAGGAGAAAGCGGCTGAGTCTGTTCAGAGCAACTGTTGGAATCAATTTGCCTGCACTAGGTTCGGTTTGGGTTAGGCACGAAATGACTGTGTCCCCATTGGACGAGACTGGTGGACCCACCTTCTAGATCCCGGGTGCGGTGCTCCCAGCTCCATGCACGCGCCTCCACTGACTCGTACATGTGGCTTCACTGTCAGTTTTGAGTCAGAATGAACTCAAGGGCACCGAGCAACACCAGATAGAGGAAAGGGCCCCACAGTACAGTGGCTCAGTACTCTTGTCTGCTAACCAAAATGTGGGTGGTTCAAACCTACCCAGCTTTTCTGAGGCAAAAAGACCTTTTCATAAAGATGACAGACAAGAAAACTCCATGGGGCCCTTTTGCTTTGTCACATGAGAGCACTGTGAGGCTGAATCAACATGAAGCATCAACGATAGATGCAGAAATACTCATAGGTGTGACTGTGGGTATAGGCTGTTGTTGCTAAGGACGGTCATGTAGGAACCAACTCATAGCTGCCCCTCCAGTGGGTGGTCAGAGCCCGTAAACTGCATGGAAGGAGAGTGTCC